CTGAAGAGCTTGAAGAACAGGTGTGGAGCTGCTGCCGTGTCTTCTCAGAGTTTTTGAATCAATCACTGTTGTCTTGTTATATTCATGAAAACTTTGTGTGTGTTGCAGCCTTTGTGTGCGTCTCTGGGATGACATCCTGTTAGGGTCCGTGTTAAAGGGACAGAATGTGACCGGCATCAGGAAAGACAAAGGCAAGAAGGACGTTCTGATGGAACAGGGTTCCATAGTTGGACTGAGGACAGAGCTGCTGCAGAGACAACAACGGTACGCACCAGCGCACACACACACAGTGTCCATCTGTGGTTCTCTAACAGAGAACCTTCACAGACAGGAAGTAGGAAGTAGACAAAACCAAGTTCACCTTTTATTTTTATTTGTTCCACACAGTTGCTTTGGTCTATTTGGTTTTTGGTTTTTGTTCTAACAAATCCATTCGATAACTATCCTACTAAGACAATACGGACATGTCCAATAGAGGGCGCTCATACAACTGACTTGGGTTTTTAAAGACATCAAAAACAAAAGCTCCACATTAAGAAATGACAGTGACGTGAGTTTGTTCTGCAGGTACAGAGAGCTGTGTCGTTACCTGAGAGTCGTCCAGACCGACGACCCAAAACTGTAAGGCCTCGATGTTTAACAACACGTTCCAGTAGTGAAGGAGTTGGTCGTATTTGAATGAGCTAACATGCTGTTCGTACTGTAGCTTCCAGCCTCTGCAGAGCCTCCTACCTTTCTTCACGTGCCTGTCTGGAGACTTCACGTTGGCCTGTAACAGTTTTTTCCCCTTGGTGAACCCCCCCGCCGCCCTCTTAACACCAGAGCTCTTCAATGTTTATCTGCGTGTGTTTGAAACAGCCACAGCACCACAGCTGCTGGTCGCTCAGCCCTCGGAGCTCTGCTGCACCAAGGCCACGTGGGAGCCGATCAAAGGTCAGGTCAAATGTCTCCTCCTGGTTACTTTTCAGAGTTTGGGGGCGGGGCCACTGAAGTACTCTCTCTGTGTAGATGCTGTTCCTCTGAAGCGAGCTGAGCTGGTGAGGTTTGCTCTCAGGGTCCAGACCTGCTGCCCTGCCGTCTCCGCTGATGTGAGTCTTCAGGGTTTATCAATCAAATCTCCAGCTCCTTCAGGCCGATCCTTTTCACTTTTAGCTCATCAGTTGTCTGGTGTTGTCTTTCTTCCAGTCTTCCTGTTGGATCCAGTTACTCAGCGTTGTCAACAAACCTTTCTGTTCAACATCATCAACCGCTCTGTCGCCTCCAGACCCTCACTTCCTCCTCGTAGGTTTCTGTTTCACTGAACATTAATTTGTCAGTGATGATTCTTAAAGGTTCAACTGTCGACCATATTTTTGCTTCTTTTTTCTTTTGCGACTGAAAATCCAGCAAGCCAAGGATGTGACCAACTCCATCCTAACTCAGCAGCCCACAAACATACAGATCCCACGCTTCTTTCTGGAGGTTAGTGTGAACGCTTGTACACGTGCACGTTAACATGGAAGTGGAAATTGACTTGAATCTGTGTGTGTGTGTGTGTGTGTGTGTGTGTCAGGTGTATCCAGATCAGGCCTTGTTACTGCTGGTGACCAGAGCTCTGGCCTTGAAAATCCTCAGTGCTTCTCTGACTCCAGCTCTACCTGTGCTCAGCTGCTTCAAGGTTTTTTTTTTTTTTAAATTTGTGTCTCATTTTTGAGGTCGGACTAGTTGGTGACACTTCTTAATGAAATGTGTTGATAAAAAGAAGAGTCAGTGAAGTGAAGGTAACTCTGACACATCTCTGTCTCCATCTGTGTTGGATGAATGTTCCTGCCAAGCCACAGTGTACCTGTCTGGCTTGTACAGTTAAATACGCTTCCACTAGGTGGCAGCAGATGGCTATAAAAAACTAAAAGCAGGGAATCTTCAACAGTATATGACGATATTGATGATATTATTGTGAGTAAAATGGAACCAGAAGGTAGTCGTATTTGATTCCAAATGTTGGGGAAACACTGGAGTAAATACAGAAAAGTGACCTTTTATAAAAGCCTCCTTCCTCAGTTCACCAGTTTCTCCTTTTGCTCCTCACAGGAGAACGTGTGGGCTCTGTGGTGGCTGTGGGACAGTCTGTCCATCAACAGAGAACGGCTGAACTCTTTCTTGGAGGCGGTCAGCCAGGAGGTCACCATCACTGCAGGTGCTGTGACCTTCTTCACAGCTCAATAAATGTTCAATGTGCATCATGAGTCAGTGTACATTGTTGGCTGTTTTTAATTGTTGTTTTAAACCAGGGGTGTCAAACTCATTTTCACCGGGGGCCACATCAGCAATACAGTTCCACTTGAAGTATCGGTTGTAACTGGTAGACTGTATAGATTAGGGGTCCCCAACGCCCGGTCCGTGGACCAGTACCGGTCCATTGGTCATTTGGTACCAGGCTGCAGTGGGACATAGTTAAAAAATGTGCTTAATTTTTACTAATTTACTTCATTCAAAGAAAGTCCAGTCATATCCATTTTACTTTCTTTATTTAAAGATAATCAATTAAAAAAACTCTTAATTTCTCAGGTTAAGCTCCCGCGGGCCACACAAAACGGCTTGGCGGGCCGCATTTGGCCCCCGGGCCTTGAGTTTGACACGTATGTTTTAAACGATGATTACTCACATCAATACATTATGGGGGGATTTCAAATGTAATTTACCATCTTTGCTACCATCTAGTGGCAGAAATACGATACGACTATACACAGTATAATTGATTGCAAACTGTTTTTTTATTACAAATATTTAAGTGTTCCTCATTGACTGTCACTGCACAGAATGAACAGCAACAATTTCTTTGTTTACCTTCCTGTTTTATCAGTTCATTAAATTAACATTCAGATATTCTCAAAAATTAAAAAACAAAACATGTGTAAAAGTAAAATATAAAAAAATATAAATTGTAGCAAATAAAATCAGAGCAGTTATCATGACTAATGATACAGAGAAGGAAATAAGACTGAGTTACTAGTTCTGTCACAACATACAGACTTTAGTTTGTTCAGTCAGAAACTGTTGCCTTTGTCAGGACAACACCTGACAACCATCGCTGTAATTGTCTACACTCAACAGTTTTACGTGACGTCAGGTGTTGGATAGCATTAGCATCTCTTTGCTTCTGTCCGACAGATGGCGGTAACTCATTAGCCGAACTCCTCACGGTCCTCCCCGCCGTGTCTCCTCCACCAGACCTGGATCAGTAAGTCTTTCTAGTTCCTGTGTTTTTTAGAGTTAGTCGCCAATAAAGCACTGTTTATTCACACAATAATCTGGAGAACTTAGGCTAAACATGTGAACGCCCCAGGCTAACAAGATCCAAAGGTTTTTGATTTTGTTGTCACTGTTATTATTAACCAACCGGACGAAGATCAAGGCCGTTATTTTTATTCTTTATGCAGTTTGGACGTTTAAATTGTTTTATAGGTTTAAGAAAATGTTCGAACTTCAGGTGTTCTTCACTACGGTACATGAGCACCGCTCGGTGTCGACGGCGCCCTCTTGTGGTTATAACTGTTAGCTGGTTTAACTGTGAACATTCTAGAACAGCTCTCTGTTCCTGATTTGTTGCCTTTTTGTTCCATGTCTTCTCCTGATGTGGTGGTGATCAGCACGTATTGTAAGTTACACTGTCACACCAGGTGATCTCTGACTGTGGAATAGTTTCCTCCTGTGCTGACCTTTGACCTTTCTGTGCTTTGATCCTGCAGGCAGCATAGCGGCTGTTAATTTCTACATTGCACAGTTCAACAACCAGTGGCCGTACCAGCTGTAAGTGCCAACTGTACGAGGACTCGTCTGTTTCTGTTAGCTGGAGGACAAATCTGATCATGTCCAACATCCCTAATTAAAATGATGAGTGTTTTTGGGCTAGAATTGTCCAGAGTTAGTTTCATGTTTTATCTCCAATGTCTTTGCAGCTCATCTTGACCAGACGTGGACCTGAAACACTGGATTCTCTCTGGATTTTTATATTTTAAAACCAGGAAGTTACAAGAGACAGTGACTTGTTAAAAACTTTTTTTTTTAACTTTATGAAATCATGTTACTTCATACTTTTTTCAGTTAATATATTTTGGCTTAAAACAGAAGGTCAGAAGAGTTGTTCAGGCTGGTACCTGAAAATGACCGAAGAAAGCCTTTGAGTTCTGTTTTCAAAGTAAATGTGAACCCAGTGTCATCATGGTACCGTTCTGTTGGGTGGGTTCTAGTCCCATCAGATGGTGGTTGTTCTGACTGTTCTCAAGTCCCATCAGATGGTGGTTGTTCTGACCTCAGTTCTGGAGAACCCTGGATCGTGTTCTCCTTCATGTGAAGTCTGTTCACAAAGCTTTGTTTCTTCATATTTTCCTGGAGATTTTTTGTTTTAGTTCCAGATGTTCTCAGTGAACCTGTCGTTCCTGTTAGATTGATTGATTGATTGATCCGTGTTCTAGTTCATCCTGAGGTAAGAACATATTAGAGTTGGTTAAGGATTATGTGGAACTGTTAAATATCAGCTGTGTTGCAGGAGATGAAGCTCCCAAACTGAAATGATCAACCACAGATTGAAGTTTTGGTTTTTTGTATTTTTTCTTTCTACAAAATGATGTTTGAAAAATCAAGTGTCCGTTTTCCATCTTAATTAAAATTAACAAATGATTGAGATTCTTAGTGGTTCAGAGACATTTGAAATGATTTCTGTTCACAGTGGAAACAACACAACATGCCAACAACTTAAAACCTAAAACCAGTGCAGTTCCAGTTTCCCTGCTCCGTCATCTCTACGCTGCGTGTGTGTTCCTGTGGAGCTGCAGCGAGCTGTAGGAGAATCTGAAAACCGGGGGTCCACGTCGGACACAACGCTCTTTAATGAGGTTGGACAGGAAGTCCAGCACCTTCACGTCCTGCTCGCTGCTGCAGAAGCCACGCGTGAACAGGAACTCCGCCCTCTCCGCCCCCCTCTCCTCCCCCCCGGTCCCTGGGACAAAGGTGTAGAGCAGAGCCTGGTTGACCAGAGCGCTCAGGCAGCTCTGCAGGTGCAGCAGGAAGGTCAGGCCGCGGCCGATGCCCGTGTGAGGGTCGACCATTCTGCTGATGAGGGAGCCCGAGTATGACGGACAGCTCAGAGTCCTGTGGTCCAGGTCCAGCAGGGCCAGGTACCGACTGTAGCGGGTCAGAGAGTGGGTGATGCTGGAGTAAGAACTGGACGATGACCTGGGGTCAAAGAGAAGGAGAGAGTTTTTCTTCATTATCTGATCTGGAAAATGACTTTTCTTGATGCCTTTTTAACGTTTCTCTCAGTTCCTGTGTCAGCTAAGATTACAGACCGTAATAACGGCTGTCTTACCTGTGTATTCCCATCAGCCTCCAGGTCAACAGGTCGGTCAGCTGCAGTGGCGTGGACAGACATGACATCGCAGCGTTTCCTTCAGGACCAGGAGACGGCAGGAAGAGACTCAGAGCCTCCACCAGCTTCTTCACCTGACCGTCGTCTGCCCCGACCACGACGAGGGGACGGCCACTCAGGAGACAGAACACGGCATGCTGGGAGAAGGAGTTGTGTTTGATGAACCTGAGGGCTCTGAGAGCCGCCTTCCTCTTCCTCTTCAGCGACCAGATGTTCCGAGTCGGGGACGGAGCTCCTGTGGAGCCTGCGACGCTGTTGCAGTCGGACCCTTCGTCCAAGCTGAGCAGCCTGGGGGGAGCACAGGGGGGAGTCCACCGGTCAACCTCCGCCACGCCAGGGACGGGGCCACGGTTCATGTGGAGGTCAGGTACCGACTTGTCAGCTTTAAACCACTTTGTCCCAACTTTTTCATCTGTGGAGAAAATCTTTGTCATTGTTTTTGATTTATTTCAATTATTATCACAGCAGCTGATTTTATTATTATCTGTAGAGAAAGTCTCAGGGTTTACTGTCAAAATGAGTACTTTTTACTGAAGAACCAGTGGGATCTGATCTGATCTGATCTGAGGACTGATCTGATCTGAGGACTGATCTGATCTGAGGACTGATCTGATCTCTGATCTGAGGATCTGATCTGAGGACTGATCTGATCTGAGGACTGATCTGATCTGAGGACTGATCTGATCTGAGGACTGATCTGATCTGAGGACTGATCTGATCGTGGACCACCTGTGGTTCTGGTACTTCATCTGTTGGGCCTACAGAATAACTACAACTGACTCTGCTGCAGACAAACCTGCAGAAAGGTTTGAAGGCAGTGGAAGAGTGGCTAGTACCCTTGCCTTACAGCAAGAAGGTCCCTGGTTCAATTCCTTTTCTCTGTGTGTTTATGTGATGCCCCTCGTGTTGAGATTTCGTTACCCTGTGATGTTCTGAGTGTCTTGTCAGTTGTGTTGGTTTTTGTGGCTCCGTCGATCTTCAGACGCTCAGTTACTACTTCCTCTTTAACTGTAACTCCCCCGTTCACTTTCATTTGCCGCGGGGGCGCTCCTCTGTCACCACAGCAGTCGTGGTTCTGAACGGGCGGTTCACTTTCACTTCCCCGTCCGTTCTCCAGTGTGTGGTTATGGAGTTCAGTTTCAGTCTCTGTTTCTTCCTCATTTTCTAAGTGGATGTTTTGATGCAGCTGCTCGGCTTCTTCCTCCGTGATGGCGGTGAGGTCCTCAGGGAAGATGGACTCCGTGGTGCTCAGGACTTCGATGCTGTCCTCGCTGTTGCCCCGTCGTGCGTACGCCCGCACGCATTTGACCGTTGCGTCTGACGGCATTCGCCTGGGAGTGGCCTCCATCTGTGTTTGTGCTGGGTGGAGAGAACAGTGAGACGTGAAGAAGGGCTGTGACGTAACGGCTGTAACAGCTGTAACGGCTGTAACAGCTGTAACGGCCGGAAAAA